GACATCGTTACAAAATAACGATATGCCTGTTCATAAATGTATGTTAACATGAAATTAATTTGTTTTTTGATTAATTATATTTATTTCTTTTCTTTCCAGTTATTCCAATGGAAAAATTAGATTTAATTCAATCGAATCAAGTTCGAATCCTTTATTATCAAAATCCAAGTCGATTTTATGTTTATCTTCGACAAAAGATTCATACTCATGCACAAGTAAAAGAATTCTGTCTGATTCGATGACCTCTTTAGAATTGAAAAACCAAAATGTATTATGTTGTAGAACAAGCCGAGATACATTCGAATTGTATATAAATATATATGTTTTGAGGTTTAGCACAGATTTTACCTTGGATGATTATCTATCTTTACTAGGCCAAATAGTATTTTTTCCTTCTCGCATGTGGTTAGAATCATACAGCATCATTGTGCAATACCATTATGTATATACGTCAAGAAGAAACAAGAGAATTTTGCATTCCGGAAGTATTAGAGAATCTATGGGATGTCTACATTCAAAATCTTCTAGTATAACATGAAGTCAAACAGAGTAATTATTGTTTGAAGGTTCTGTGGCTTTTACTAAAGATTTAAGGTTACAGATAATCAGAAGTTAGATTTTATGATATGAGGTTTCAAAGTTCTACATATGAAACCATTGGCAGAATCCCACAAGATTCAGTGCCATTCAGAAATCTTATAGAGTTTAATGATTCTTCACCAAATCTGCTGTTCAAAAAATTTTCTTACATATTGTATTGTAGAACTTTTCATGGACCACAAGCTCATATACTTAACATCTTGAATCATTCTATTTTTGATAGGAAAAACTGTCATTTTTCTATGATTTACCGTCGGTTTCCAATAGTATCGACCATAGAAGACGTAACCAGGCGTCAAATTTTCTTAGAAATTATCCACAATGTAGCATTACAAAATACATTATTCGAAATTTCTCCAAGATGAATGCAGCTTTTCATTGACAAATCTTAATTTCCTTCTTTCGATACTATAATTTCGACATTTTTGACTATCAAAAGTCAATTCTAGGGCGAAATAAACATCATGTTTGGAATTAGCATAACAAACTGTATTGTCGATACTATTGAAAAATGGCATTTTTTTCTATCAAAAAATAGTAGAAAGAATTTCGACTATGACTAAAAACCACAATGATCAGCAATTGATCACGTTTCGGATGCATAGTCTTATGAAAATAAGATTTAATATATACTATTGGACATGCCTCGAAACTTGCTCTACAACATGGTTTATCTTTTCTGTTTTTTTTTTTAATTCTGAATAGATCATCTAATATATTTGCATAAAATAAATTTTATTTAAAAATCAAAAAAAATTATAATTATTTTCTTGTTTTAGTTTCAAGTTGAATTACAACGTACTATGCAAAATTATCAATCAATAACGTCATCTACACAATATGTACGTTATCAACCTGTTGTTGCACAAGATAATCATGCAATATGGCATCGTGCTACTATATTAGGTCTATTTTTATTTGTTTTTTGTTTTTATTTTCATTCATTTTATTTTGTAAAGATTTTAATTCTAATAGAACTGAAGTTTGTGTTTATTTTGTTGATGTTGGTCAACAAGAAAATATTTCTATAACAAATATTCGTCCATTACCACAAGAATTTATTCGTCAACCAGCATTTGCAATACCATGTCGTTTATATCAAATATGTCTACTTAATGGTAATGAACAATCAATATGGAAATTAGATGATCCAGTACATGATGAATTTAATCGACTTATGGCTAATAATGCTAGTTGTAAAGTTTGTGATCTTAAAGAAAAAATATGTTATGATGTTGAAATTGAAATTCCTCGTAAGTATTCTTTAAAAAAAATATTTAATAACACTCTTTCAGATTCTCATGAGCGAAGTCTCGCCAAGTGATTAATTGCTTTTGAGTCGAGGCTATATTGCATTTTTATGAAAAGGTTTTAAACCTATGCCGTGACTCAAAAACTAGCATACAAATGCAGTATTTCCGTCATAATATGCTAAAACTCGGAATACTTTCCAGAGTGTTGATTGCCTGTTAGGATCTATATAATGGCATATAGTCTTGACTTAGAAGTTGTTGGGAGTCGAGAGATCTGTCATTATGTAGCACTCTATTTCAGTTATCTATTATACAAATTTTTGTAGAAATTCGCCAATCGAGCCTAGAATTGTAATTATTTACTCTAATCATTGGTACACAAAAATTCATATGTGATCCATAACTCAGTGCTAATTCAATAAATTATTGTGCAACTTTTAGAGAAGCATTTTCTATATGTTGACATTGTTTTTTTGCAAGTTTCAAAGTCATATATTATACTAGAAAGAAATGACGTACAACTGATCATCTTATTAGTATTGATGATCCAGAGACAACAATGTTCGAGTCAATGAAATTATCATTTAGATGAAGAAAGAACATATACTAAGCTAACATTTCGTATGAAAATATTTAGAATTAAAAATGTGTATGGTAAGAGATAAGACAAACTTGAGTAGGCGGCTTTTTAAGGTTATGAATTCCATAGTAAAAATAGGTACTATTGATTACTACTCGTTTTCTTTTTAATCAAGCGAGATCTGCATGGTACCATTGACCTACATGTCTAATGGAATATGTGTACATAAACTTTGAGACTCCCAACCATCACAATGGTAGAGAAGATATCAATGATTACATTTTCCTTCTCCTTAGCAATGAAAACAAGACTTAGGCTGTTCTAGAACCTTCCAAAGTTTTTTCTTGAATAATCTATATATATAATGTTCAGTGTGTATGTGTGTGTGTGTGTGTGTGTGTCGGGTCAAAGGTTAAAGGTTAAATAAGGCTATAAGGGAAGGGACTCCAAGGGTTCTCCTATAGAAGTACTCATAGGTTTTTAAGGACTACTCTATGAGAATAGTCATAGGTCCTCAAGGGCTGTTCTATAGGGGTACCCATAGATCTTCAAGGGCTATTCTTTGGGGATAGTCATAGGTCTTCAAGATCTATCGTATGATGGTACCCATAAATTATCAAGGGTCGTCATATGGGGCATCCATAAGCCCTGAAGATAGTAAGCCAATGAGTGGGTAAGGCAATAAATAAGGGGATAAGACTACAAGTGCTATAAGGGATATAAGGTTATAAGACCGAAGGCTACATGGACTACAAAAATATGTGCGATATAAGAGTATAACGCCATAGGACTATCTATCTATATACATAATAGTGCGCGGCTGTATGCCTACTACCAGATGAAAAGTTTAACGCCTGAGGTCATACGTTTGAGGAAAAACATAGCCGTGTAGTATGCACGGGCTCTTGCTAGTATAGAAATAAATAAGACAGTTCGTTTTTCATGACGATTGGTTATCCTGGAAAAACAACTATAACCTATTGAAGATTTTTCATTTTATTTAATATGTATTAGTATAATAAGGCAAAAGAACACATGTAAGTAGGAAGGTGCAGGTCCGGGTCCAACCTTTGATTTTTTATTGGGCCCTTCATGTACATGAAGGGTGCAAGGTATTGATGGAAAAAACCTCGGGTTTGGACCCACAGCTCCCTAGCAACATACGTCAACTACATATACCAAACAAACGGTCTATTTAAAACATTTTATCGATTTTATTTCAAGTCATCGTTTTTTTAAAACAATACGAGTAATTTATTAGTCTGCAATCGAATTCAACATTGGCTTAAATTGTTATTACAAGAATATCAGATCTAATAGATTTTCTCTAGTAAAACAAAACTCAAAACATATTTTAATAAATATTCCTAAATGTAAAAGTTTTCGATATATTTCATTTAATCAAAAAATATTCCTTATCAAAGAAAAAAAAATCTTATTCATGTATCTAATAGTTATGTAAACAATATTTTATTATTTTTTTGTTTAATATACGAAGACTTGTATACGATTGCGAATTCAGTTGAAGAATATCAGTGAGTGTGAAAATATGGATTATGATGCTTAGCGTCATCTATTATCTTAATCGTACGCTTCACTGATTTGTTTTCTTCTTTCTTATGTGTATGCGATAAGTTCTGGGTAAAAATATCTAGTAGAGACCATTTAATTCTTCTTTCGATATATCTCTGTTTACACCATTTAATCTATTTCTTTTCTTTCGAAAAGAAAAAAAAAAGAAAACCATAAAGAATTATTTATCCATGTGACATCCATATATAAACATTCGAAAGTACAAAAAAAAGAAATTCTTCGATATATTTTCTCTTTTTTCAGAAGTGGGAGATCTTGGAACATATCTTTTTGGAAAAAATCTTGTTTCACGAATAACAATGCGATCATCTCAATCAACAACTTATAATACAAATCAAATGCAACAACAACAACAACAACAAACATTTGATCGAATACCACCTGGTTTTTCAGCAATCTCTTCATCAACACGACAACAACCACAATCACAACCACATAGGTTAACATTGCAAAATGAATTTTATAATAATGCAACCAGTGCAATTCAACAACGACCACTAACTCGTCCATTACAAAAACCAATTGTTCAACAATCTCCTAGTGCACCGTAAGTATAACTTTCGACTTATTTTGGTCTTGTACTCGATCAGGCTAAGGTTTGAAAATTTTTTGAGTAATCGAGTCTGGATCCGATGGGCTCTAATAGTCATATGTTCCAGCAAGGGAACATAGTCAACTGTCGGGTACCGTTCGACTTCATATTATAGCAATGAGTAGGCATAGACTAGAGAGGAAGGGGAAAAAACTGAAAAGATCTATAGGTTACTCTTCCACAATTATAATGAGTTAATAAAATAACAGTGTCGGTTTCAAAACAGGATGTACTCTACTATCTTTCGAATAACATCTGATGAGAACATTATAGACTCCTGTGGTTTTCATCATTCAATAGAAAAGATTCTTTCCTTTCGATCTACGCAAGGTTCAACTTCCTAGCACGTTTAGTTCAAGAGTTATAAGGGTTTTCTCGAGACTTCAGATTTTAGAAAATTGACCATGTAAAACTCCAAGAGAAGGATAATTCATCATGCTGAATCGAAATTTGGATAATTCTACTTGTACAGTATAACAATCGAAGTGTTCAAAATACTGAAATAACGCTCTCAGATCGCTTTTTGAAACTGACCATTCAACTCTGCATGATGAATTCTCCCTATCTGGAGCTCTTTTATGGCCTCTCAAAGTTAATTTCCTAAAGTCGTGGATCGGAAAGAACTCGTCTATTGTTGTTCGATAAGATTTTAGTATACGCAAATAGTCCCGAATCTTTTTTCGTGAATAGTGAAAACCGCAAGTCTCTATGATGTTCCTATCAAAAGTTATTCAAAAAACAGTCAGATCCATTGCTTTTAAAAAAAATGAGAATAGACACATAGTTGAACTCTCTATATTGAACATTTTAATAAAATTTATTTTTTAGAACATCGACTGATTCATCATCATCATCTGAAATTCAAACTCTGCCACCTCGTATATATAATTTTTAAACAAAAAAACTTCATTCTTAAAAATTTCTATTTTCAGAGGATGGTTATTATACAATAACTCATGTTTATAGTGCTATTGAATTTTATGGTCATTCTCAAGGTCGTGAAAAAGAATTAGATGCATTCTATAAACATCTTGAAGATATATATAATAATAATACAAATGATCAATCATTAAGTGTACATTTTTTTATGGAAGGTATACCATGTGTTATTCAACAAGGTGATAAATATCATCGTGTTATAATTAAGTAAAATATTTCCTAAAAAAAGAAAATTTTTTAAAATATATTTGTTTTTTTTTCGTTCATGTAGACATCGTGAAAGTGAATCACGTGTATTAGTTACACTTATTGATCGTGGTGATGAAATTATTGTTGATACATCAGAATTATTAAAACTTGAAAAAAAAAATTTTACAATACCAGCATTTGCACAACCATTTCGTTTATTTAATTATGATGAATCAGTAAGAGATTATTTGTTCTATAGGAAAAAATAAATAAATAATGAATTTTATTTTTCTTCTAGCATAGTACAGCTAATATAACACGTAAATTAAAAAGATTAATTCTTAATCAACGTGTTCATATAACACAACATTTACCAATGATAAATGGATTTTATCCAGTTGAAGTTAAATTACCTGATAATCAATTAGTTAATCAAATTCTTCTTGTAAATGATAATAATCCAATTGTATGTATATCTATGTTCAAAAAAAGATTAAATTATTCTTTTTCTTTTTATTTAGTTTTCACCACCGATGAAATCTTCTGAGTAAGAATATTTTAAAATTTTATCATTAAAATTTACTTTTTTTTAAATTTAGATTACAATCAATACAAATTCAACAAGATATAAATACACAACGGATCAATGATGATTTACCAGCACCACAAAAATTATTAACAGCAACAACAATATCTGGACGTACACAACCAGGTCGTTTTACAGCAAAATCTCCTGTTAGAAATGAATCGACATCACGTTTTTCACGATCCGAACAACAACAAGATGAATCACGTTCATTTGGACAACAAACACAAACATTTACATCGAGAACAACAAATGGATTTCAACAATTAATGAATGATCAAAGTCGTTCAACTAGTATGAAAATAGAAATTTGCACACTCCCATAGATCGTGATAGACATGTAGGGAACTGCGGGTTCATGTTTCGGATCTGACAGAAACTAAATTTTTGGATCATGATGCATTCTCATACTATTCTCAATAAAACCTTTTTTGTGATCCATCTCTGAAGATATGAATCTGGCCACGGCGTTTAAAGGATCTTTAAGGATAAGGAGATCTATGTAGAAATGAAAAAGCAAATATCCGATGTTGTAGAACTTTTTGAGACGCGTTAAATGGTATATAGTAAAACTTGTTTTCAAAGGACTTAGAGTCAATTTATTGATAAAGGACTACACACCCACACTGACAAGATGATCGGAGATGCTGCAGATGGGAGGTTGTAGCCCGTCACAAACTCTACAACATATTTTAGAAATACTTTCGACTAATACCAAAGACCACAATATTCAGAGATTTATCATGCTGGAGTGAGAATATGTAGTCGTCTACCAGTAAATTGACTCTAAGTCCTTTGAAAATAAGTTTTACTATATACCATTCGATGCGCCTCAAAAAGTTCTATAAGATGGTATATTTGGTTTTTCATTTCTCAATACATCCACTTATTCGAAAAGATCCTTTAAACGCCGTGTCCAGAACTTTTGCTATGCCCTAAGTACGTATATATGGAAAATATTTTTTCTAAGGGTAATAATTTATACATTACTCGATGCTAATTCTAAATATAAAATTAGTCTTCAATAAAGGTTTTATCTTGAAAATCTATAGGTCAGCTCCGGAATATTCTAACACTATATCAGTGTTATAGATGGTAGCGCATTCTTTGAAAACTTCGCTCAATTTGCAATTGCGAAAAATTGTGCAAGTACATTATACTGAATACATGTTTTTTACGTAAAAGCACTCGAAGTTAAAGAAGAATAACTGTTTTTTCTGAATCTAAAACAAATAGAAGCAAATCTACAGAGTGAAAAACACAATTTTAGATTATATTGTTATCTTTTCGGGGATGTTTTCTCCTTATTGTTTTTTATTTATAGTAAGAAAAATTTCTAGTCCTTACTGACAGCGTTCTCCGACTAATGCTAAGAAGGAGAACAAAGACTTTTATGTCAAAGTATATGTTGCCCTGTTAAGCCATTCAAAAGTACACTTTCTATTTTTCACCTAATGCGCGCCGTGTCCCAAAGGGAAAATGACGTCTTCCATCTAGTTCTATAATCAACAGCTTATAGTCCCCTATGTTCTAAAATAGATAGAATAAAATAATCTCCTTGTGATTATTAAGAGCAACTATGTCGTATTTCATATTTTAATTCTACGAGGATTATGCTAACAGCTTTTTTAATTTAGGTCGTGGATTTTCTACTGATGAACAACAAACAAATCAAAGAAATGGATTTGGAAATAATCGTGGAGGTGGTTTTGGTGATCGAGGAGGTAAATTCTACATAACTCGAAATCATAAAATAGTAAATATGTTTTTAAACAAGGTCGTAATGGTTTTATTGAACGAAATTTTGATAATAAAAATGAAAATGGTATGCAACGAACAGGAGGATTTAATAGTAAGAAATGAATTAAAATAATCTTCTTTTATCTTGTCTTTGTTTTTTTATAGATCGTACCGGTGGTTTTAATGAACGAGGGTGTAAGTATTTAATTATATTATTTTATTTTTAATCGATATATTTGATTAGTTCGCAATGAAGGTTTTCATAATCAAGATGAAGATAATAATGAAAATAATAGTACACAACGATTTGGTAGTAAGTAATTTTCTATTGAAATTTTAGATTGATAATAAAATATAAATTTTTTTTAGATCGTGGTGGATTTAGTGGAGAACGAGGAAGTCGAGGTGGTGGATTTCAAACTTATCATGATAAAGAAAATAGTGGAGATAACGGACGAAGAGGTGGTCGTGGTGGTCCAAGAGGAGGAGGTAAATCAATTTTTTTCGAAATATTATTAATAAGAATTCTCTATGTGAACAAATGAGTTTTGTAGAGGAAAGAAAGACATTTCTAACCATAGTATTTTTAAATAGAAAACATTCGTTTGCGACGACATTTCGGGATAATATTAAACTTTCCAAGAAAGGATTTTTAGTTTACACATACGAGAACTTCATCATTCTAGAGAGAAGACCTCGAGTCACCGAACTTTGATCGGTCAGCCATTGACTAGTCAGATGGATTCCTGTTTGAGATTTTCGAAAGCAATATTCTGAAGTTATTTTCTTTTCAATAGAACTAATCGATCAAAAAATTTCAGTCAATTGATCTGTGATCTTCCGGTAAAGCAATTAAGTAGTGGGTAATGCTGATGGCGATATTTGTTTTTAAACTCGAGCTTTAATTGATACTTTATCTCAATATTTCTGAAATATCGATTCCTTCATGACATGGAGGCTGATGGTGGAATTCCAGGAATATTGAAATAACGTTACCGGATCAATTCGAATCTTAACAAAAAAAAAACAAATATCATCATTCGACTCAGCATAGGATCTATCTCATCTTACCGAAGATCGCAGATCGATCGGCTTAAATCGAAATCTCAAGAAAAGTTGCATAACTATATATATGGATAACATAGTCCTGGACTCCAAAAACGATTGGTCCTGTTCATCATTACATATAACTCTTTAGCTTCAGAATATCATTTTTCGAAAATTTCCACTAAGAAATCATCTAGTTAGACAACGGGCCACGCGGCCTGACAATTTTATCTTCTTTTGACATTTGACTTATACCTGAGGAGGATAGAGGAAGTTTCCGTGCTACCTCCCTGTCATCACTTTTTTCTATAAGACGAAAAATATGCAATAGCTTTCCATTTAGAAAAAAAAATCTTTATAAACGGAATTTTTTTCGGGTACGGATCGGACCATAAAAAAGTGACCCGATTTCGAGGTCTGTTAGACAATAACTGACCGATGAAATTTCGATATATTTCAATGATGTTAACATTTGCAATCTTTTTTTTTTGTTTATAGGTCGAGGTGGTTTTGGTGATCGTGGCGGTTTTGGTGATCGTGGCGATCGAGGTGGTTTTGGTGATCGTGGCGGTCGAGGTGGTTTTAGTGATCGTGGCGGTCGAGGTGGTTTTGGTGATCGTGGCGGTCGAGGTGGTTTTGGAGATCGTGGTGGTCGAGGCGGAGGTCGTGGTGGACGTACGGGTGGTTTTGAAGATCGTAGTGATAATGATTTTCAATCAAATACTGATAATAATGAACCGATAAAAACATTTAGTGGTTGGCCAAATGTAAAATCTCCAATAAAATCTTTTGAAGTTGGCGATCATTTTGTTGAAAATGAAATTCCTCAAGATACATTTCAATTTGT